GCGGGTGTCAGCTGCTTTTGTGGAGCACTTATCTTGAGTATTTTTGCTCTACTGCGGCTCGAGAATGTCCTCGGCTAAGATCCCTATCTTATCCGAGGAGAGTCTCGAGCCGTAATAGAGAATCATCGCGCCACTATGTGGCACTGCATGGTTCCCCGGCGCAGCTGCAAGCCATAAATCCCACCCTCGACAGCAAGGTGACCGGGCGCATGGTGCGGTGCCTTGCTGTGCTGCGTGTGTTCGCTGCTTGCACTTGCCCAAACGCCTCCGGCGCGTCGCAAAAATAATTGAACTAGAAGTGCTCATGTAACCGTATGTATGCCCTAGCCATATAGTCAGTATTTTAGCATCGCTTCGTCCGTCTGCCGTTGGCTGTGCCTACCTGCGTGCCTAGTACATGGGCAAACAAACCCACGCCATAGAAACACATGACGGACAGACACATGTCACTACGGACGGACACTGACACATCGGAGGATATAATCTGTATGAAGAACAAGATGCTGAAGAGGTGTTGGTGGCTTGTTGTTACGCATTCTGGAAGATCTACAAACAACTGGGGTCTTGCAGTGAACAGCTACCTTCGCTGTTACTACGTATGAAACCTGAGACTCAGGAACCAGCAGACGGTATGATACCAATAAACTGTTACCTTATCTACCAGGTATCTGCGTATTTCATGCCTCCATTCTTTACGACATATCTGCTTTCTCGTGTTCTATCTCCATTGACTGCAATCATGCTCCCATAGCGTCCCCATTTTTTAGGAACTAGCGTAAGTTCATGTTTGAGGGGAGTACTTGCAGCCTGTATTCCATGGGTTCCTGCATCATATCCGATCCAGTGATCAGAGGTTGTAAATTAGGCGGAATATCTAATCGTCTGGGTCGGAAAATGTCTTCCTGGACTCTGGTGGGAAGTTCCATCAATGGATAGGATAGGTGTTCCTTCGTCGTCTGAAGCCATGTCACTATCCGACTCATGTCCTGCGGTTCTCTTCTCGTGGATGTTCTGTCTTAGTTTCGAGGCTATGATCTTTCCGCTTCGTAGATATATGGGAGCACCTATCTCTCACTGTGCAGTAATTGCAGCAAATCCTCTCAATAACGTCCCTACGTGCGGATCCAACATCGGATTCAGGAGATCTATGGTTATTAAATACCCAGAACAGCCCCCAAATGAACAGCTGGCTGTTACTACGTATGTATGGTACCCTACCGCAACTGTAATGCACCGGCGCGCCCTTGTACCGCAACCCACTGAATAAGGTAGTACGAATTAGTACGGGCGGGATCTACGGAACTAGTGCTAGAAATAGTAGCAAGGACGAAACCGCGAACATTTATTAGAGGGAAAATAGTTCACTGTCCGGTTTTCGTCCGATTCCCCCCTACCCCTGCCAGGCGACCCGCCCCGGCCGGCCGCTAGAACCGCAGGGGTACTAGGACCCGTGTCCGCGAGGTACCGGCTATTCACGGGCGCAATGAGCGATGCCCCGCGATTCGGTCTACTAACCTGAATTTGATTACTGACTTAATTAAGCATTGTGAGTTAGTAGTCTCATATGTCTGTTAGTTATCTACCGCGGTGCATTGTAGTGCCAGTGCACTACAGCAACACTACTGGGTTCAAACTCTATGTTCTAAAGACAGCCTATTTATTCCATAAGGCCTCAGATATTCAAATAATTGCTTTTAAAACATGTTCCAGTCGTGTGATTTTAAAAAGGGAATAAAGGAACAACAATTCCCCCTCCTGACCCTGCAGTCAGTCAGAGTCTCCACGGCTGCGTCCTCTCACAGCCAGCCCTAAACTTGTGGCCCGCCTAGCATTCTCGAGTTGGTTATCTTTAATTTCTATCTAAAGTATTACCATTTATATCTATTAGAATGGTATTCGTTATCTTTCATCTAACAAGGTCTCTGCAGTTTCCACTTCAGCTCCATTGCAGTGTCTGTGCACTACAAGCGGTTTCCGACGGGGACGGCACGAGCCCTCATAAACTGCGATAAAAGCAAGACACACAATCCTTCTACAAGGAACCATTTCTTGTACTACCTTATTTTAATATTAATTATATTTAGTTTCGAGTTTTGCTCGCATTTTTGTCACCGCTGTTCCTTACTGTTACATTCGCGTTGCACGAGACTTGAGGACCAGCAGAGAAACTGCGAATTCTTCAACTTCCTTCCTGAACTCCTTAATTTGTGCATATTTCTTTCTCTTCCTTTTGGAAATAAAACGGATATTGAAATTCTCTCTTTTCTTTCACCACCATGGCTTCTTTCTACAGGACGGCCGTAGCAGTGTGCCTCGTCGCACTCGGTGTGCTCGAATCAGAGGCGCAACAGGGTCCTGCAACGTATAAATTTACAGTAGTGAATGTAGATGAAGGTGAGCACATTTTCCCCTTCATTTCACCCGTCCTGTTTCCCCTCTTCATGTTCTATGCCGTGCCATCAACTACTCAGCTGCGGCGGACCGCAAGTCGCGGCATGGTTGCATTGGATCGCGTTTCTTTGTTTCTGCATCTCCGCCGCAGACGCCTACTTGTCCGCCAACTTGGCCCGTAATGGAAAGCTCCCAGTTCACATCAGTGAAGTAAAGAAGGACGACAGCCTCGTCACCGCCTTAACGGAAGAAGTAACAGCCGGAGCAGAGCCCGCTGCGGAGAACTGCACTGCATTGATAACCTCCGAACTGGTGAGCAAGACAACTACCTGTCCAGAGGCTTTGCGCCGTTGCTATCCGTAGTCGTTTTGGGTTAACAGCAACTCTAAATCCCACTGTACAGGCCGGCACAAACTGTGCAGCCATTCAGCTGGTTGACACGAGAAGCTGTCCTGCCATTTTACGTTTCGTTTGGGCGTATAGAAGGCGCGCTTCCATTACTCTTTCGATCACGAACCCGAGTCGGAGGCCAGTTTCGACTACCGTCAATTACTGCAAAAAGCTCTGGAAGCTGGATTGACAGTCTTCAAGTGAGTAAATGCCATATTCACAATCACTACAGGCAAATCTCATATATATTCCTTATATAGCAAAATGCGGCCCCATTGATGTCAAACGTACAGGCAATCAACTGCGTCGCTTTTTCAGTGACCCATTTCTTACGATGCACCTGTGCTGTGCTTTGCTTACATGTTTTCAAAAGGAAAGCATACCCCAAGAGCAAAGAAGAGTGGCAAAATATCTGGAAGGATGATGCAGGAGCCAGCCTCGCGTATCTCCTCGCGTCTAACAGCACTACAATCGGGTGCGTCATTGGAAGGTGTACCCAAGTAGCAACCCCAGCGGAGCCAGAAGTTCCGGAATTACCTCACGATGGAGCCGGAGATTCAGGAACGCCGGAAGGAACTTTAAAAAAGGAGGCTGTACTTTTCTGCGATCTCAAACCGCCGGCTGTGAAGGACTCTGCCCCCTTTGAGTAAGTTCTGGGTTTCGGCAGATGCCTTCAATGAGGGCATTTTAGGAGAGATTTACAGATAATAGAAACCAAGGCTGGTCATGCTCTCCCTGATTATGCGTTCATCTCTGTTTCCTATTTTTTCAGTGAGGAGTATTTCAACGGACTTATAGAACGAACCACTCAATTAAAAGATATGACAGAAGACGACTTGAAGAATTCGGTTGGAAATGGCCCTGTAGCAACGGCCTCTACCATTCTAATTGCCGGTTTGGTTGCTATGCTGACAGCCGTCTCTGCCTAGGGTTCAACCTGCCTTTAGCTGCTCAGGAAGTTGCCCCGTTTCCTCTTCAGCATGTGTACGCAGCGCTTTGCAAATCAAGCAGCG